ATTAATTTATTAATTTAATATAAATATATTAATATAATAATAATAAACATATATTTATATATTAATATACTAAATAATATTATTATTAAGTACAAAAACAACAACAACAACAATAATAATAATAATTATTATTATTGTTATTATTACAGTTCCATCTAATAAATGTCTGCTGCAATTATACTTTATGCAGAAATACCTATGAATGCTAATGGAATCATTTTGCATTCCTGTAACACAACCATTGAGACTCATTTTCTCTCTCTATTTGGACCAGGTTTCAAAAGTTGGAGAAATGGAGAAAGCCATTTTACGACGTTCTGCGGAATTACGAGAACTCCTCTGTGGTTTTGCCGGCGTTCTATAACACACGGAACACAGACGTGTCGTTCCGCGTGAAGTACATGCTGGATGACTTCGAGTCGGCCCGCGGCGTGTTCTTCTTCCACCCGCAGTACCTGCTGAATGTGCAGCGCTTCTGGGCCGTGCAGGGCGTCCGCGCCAAACGCCTCAGCAGCGGCCTGATGCTGGTCACCGCCGCCATGGAGTTATGCGAACAAGTGCATCTCTACGGCTTCTGGGCATTTCCCATGAACCCCTCCGGAATCTTCATAACACACCATTACTATGACAATGTCAAGCCCCGCCCCGGTTTCCACGCCATGCCGTATGAGATCTTCAACTTCATGCACATGCACGCTCGCGGCATCGTGCACGTGCACACGGGCCCCTGCAGGTGAAACGTCCAAGCGTCTCTGCAATCTGATTGGTCCGTTTTGTAGAGCTCCTCCCATTCACTGGCGCTACGGAACTCAGACTTATGTGCGTGTGCGCGAATCGCTGCCTTAAAGGCCAGGCGTTTTATTACTACGTGTTTTTTCAATATCGTGTCGGGACAGTTGCAAAACGGTATTTGTTTCCTGTTTGGTGATTCTCTGTAATGGTGTCGTATTTGTGTATCAGAGCAAATATCACGTTTTAAACTTTGCGAGGAGGCGCCAAACTAGGCACAATGCAATAGAACGCAACAGATGAGTTCTGGAAGTAAAAACTTTTTAATGATAAACCTTTTAAGACAGACCTGTTGTGAGCTCTGTTCATCTATGGTAAATGCTTTTGCTGAAGCCATCTGTTCGCATTCAACATATTTTTAAAATAATCATGTTTAAAGGTACAGTCATTTTTTGACTGTACTAAAGCATAAAAATACCATAATATGTTTGCAGACATTTAGGAAACATGCTAAGTTCACATACGTGTTTCTCTGAAAATGCTACAGCCAATTATTCTACTTTGAAATGTGTGTTCTGTGTCAGAATGTCTGTTTTTGTTTTGGTCTGTGTGATTCCACCCACTGCCAGTTTAACCAATAGTATTTCGACACCCTGGATTGCCAGTTGGCAGAAAACACAGCATGTTGCAGCCATGGAAGCCAGCAAACGAACTGGGTCAGAGATCGCAGATTATAACCCAACCTAAAAAGCCTCGGTATTCATCTGAAAAGCTCCATGACCAGAGGAATATTAAAATGCAGATAAATCAACTCATCAACTCACTCGCCACCTTCCATTGTTAATTGCACTCGTTCTTGTTGAGAGTCCTCAATCTGGCAACCTGCTGAGCGTCCAGCATCTCTCCAGTATTTTGAATTTGGACTGCAGTACGCATTGCAGCCACTAGCTGTCAGTATTACAGACTACACCTTTAATAGCTGAATTCGTTGTGAAAATCTAGCTCCACCCACTCCCAAAGAACTACGAATGATGTAGTCTGTCAACCTACACAATGAAAATAGTTTGTATATTGTGTGTGTGTATATCATAGACTGTATAAAAACATGGACGTAGTGTCCGTGACGTCACCCATAAGTTCCTGAAGAGCGTTTTTGAAGCTCAAAGTGGGCAGAGCCGGCCGTCGCCATCTTGGTAGCGCGTCACCGCGCGTCACTCCCAAAAATGGGCAAAAAGGCGGGAGCTGGTTGCTGAAACCACGCCCACCTAGCTCGACGGTGGTGACAGCAGCGGCAATCCACCTGTCACTCAAGTGGCCACGCCCTTAATTATGCAGAACTTTAAGGCTTAATATAATTTAAACGGATGACTTATAAAAAATTTCACCCCCCTCACAGATGTCATGAAGGGCAAAATTAGCTATATAGACCAAAATCATTTTTTGAACCAGGCTGTAAACATGTTTTTTTCTGCTGTAAAGTTGGGCATTTTAACATGGGGAGTCTATACTGACTCCCTTTTGGAGCCAGTCGGTGAATTGCAGTTTTAGTCACTTTCGTGTTGGTTTCACAAGAGAGACCGGAAGGTTGCTGCTTGATTTAACCTCAGAGTTATCTCAAAGTCAAAAAAAAAAAGGTGCTGAGTGAAGTCTGATTTTATGGTGGCTGTGCTTTAAAATTCAAGTGAAGAAGGACCTTGAAAGTCTGACAGTAATCAGCTAAGTTGAGTTGAGTTGAGTACTACTGTAAGGTTAACACTGCCTGCTTTAAATGTTTCAAAATGATTAACAGTTGAAAACATTTGTTAGAAATCTAGAAAAGTAATCAACAATGAATCAAATGTAATCAGTTACATTACTTTAATAAAGTAATTGTAATAGTTGCATTACTTATTACATTTTAAAAAGGGTAACTCGTAATCTGTAACCTATTACATTTCCAAAGTAACCTTCCCAACACTGGTTAATAGTTAGTAACTGTAATAGCGAGAATTGGTCCCCAAACTAAAGTGTGACTGATAATCCTTACATTTTAGCCTAATAAATGATTATGTATGCAATATTTGCTATGCTGTGTCGTCCAAAACAACAAAGCCTTATTTTTTCTGTGTTCTGTGCATAATTTACCCTAATCAGTCTCTGTGCTGTCATTATTTTCCCATATCACAAGAGGGCAGTGTTTTTAAATATCATTACACATAATACACTGGCACTAGGGGGTAAATTGATGGAGCACAATTTCGATTGAATTATTACCAGTCGTCCCTCTTTTGATCTGGGTCTGTGCTATTCTTCATTAGAGTTTGGCAGATTCATTTTGGCCAAAAATTATTAATAGTAAGGATGTGATGTAGGAACGGTAATGCAAGTTGTCACATGACACACATCAACAAGGCCTACGCCGGTGCTGGAGATGTGGCTTTTCTTCTCATATCTGGCTACTAATTGAAATGCTGTTGAAAGCTTTTACCGCATTTGCTTGGTTAGGGTCACCATGTCATCAGTAACACACTGGGACAAAATCCAGATTTATCCGAAGGGGGATGGGAAAAACGCAGTGTCTCACGATGATAGCAGATGGCATGACGGTACGAAACAAATGGTCCAGCCAGACTTCTCCATGACAGAATCAATGTCCACCTGTTCTCCAAAGCACAAATCATCAGCTACTCTTTCCCGACTGAAAATACAGCAGAGTGAGAAAAAGTATAAATATCTACATATAAATGTTTACAGGTGTCTTTAGCAGAGGCGAGGCAAGCGTGTCTGTGCATGTGTTTATTGTTAGACTGTCTGAATCGAATGCTGGGCAAAAAGAGCATGTTTCTACGGTGATGGCCTTGAACAGAACATTTTCAGGTGGAGTATGATGGGAAAAGTCCCCTGTTATGTCCTGCCAAGGACTCAGGAGGCTTGTCTGTGACCTAAAGCAGGATTGCAAACTAGAATTTTATATTTTCTGAACCATATGTTACTGCCACAATGCTGAGGTGTTGTGGGTGGTTGCTAGGGGCGTGGCTATGTGGTTGTTAAGTTTTTGCTTAAAAAAGACTGCCCTCAAAGTTTATAGATATGGCGCTGTATTATATATACAAATATTGGGCATGAAATTGGTTCAAATTACGTATGCAAAGGAAGGGCGATACCACTTACCAGTGTCGGGGGTAAATCATTACAAGTAACACGACTAACGTAATCAGATTACTTTTTCAAGTAACTAGTAAAGTAATGCATTACTTTTACAGTTGGAAGAAAATACCTGAGTTACTTTTTTTTTACATTTATTCACTGACACCTCTCCTGTCCCCATGTTGAGAGAAATTGGGAGTGAGGTGCAGAGGCACTTCCTTCAGCCGGAGGCTTATTCATTTCACTTTTGATATGAAAGGCTCTTTACAGTTGCCAAAAATATAATTTTGGGGTTTTTTTGTTATTCAAAAAACAAATAAGCAAGTCCAGCCCATGTGACAAAAAGTAACACAAAAGCAACATAATGCATTACTTTCCATAAAAAGTAACGCAATTAGTTACTTTTTCATGGAGTAATGCAATATTGTAATGCATTACTTTTAAAAGTAACTTTTCCCAACACTGCCTCTTATTTGATTTTCTATTCAATGCCAGTATTTTCAAAGGTCAGTATCAGCAATACTGACACCTCTAAACTGAAATTTTGGATTATTTCCAATAGTAAAATGGGTAATTTGATGGCCACTGAAAGGGATAGTTCCTTGAAATAAAACAAAGATTACTGGAGTACTTTTTACAAGAACATGCTATTTCAGTGTTTCTACTTCAAAATTTCACGTTTAATTCAATATATATTCTTTGTAATTGTTTGTGAAATTTACTAGCAATTTCCTAGTGAAAATTGCTTCACCTAATTTGTTTTAGTGTAGTTAAAAATATATGCCTGTGACCGACTCTCCCATAATGCACTGCAGTGTAAACAATCATAGCACATACCGTTAATCACTTACTGATCCATGATAATATGATCATTATAAAAGTATAAAAATCCTTTGATATGTTTATTAGACATATTTAACAATGAGAATATTATATATTTTGCCATCTAGTGAAAAAGGTAGTGTAAAATGTAAAAATTGTTAAAATTGCCAGTTTTAACATTTAATATTGCTTTATTGCAAATTATTAGATTGTTTTTGTTTACATATGGTTAAAATATGGTTACTGTAGTGATAACCATGGTAATTTAGTGGTAAGTGCGGTTTTACTACAAATACTATAGTAGAACTACGGTCACTGTTGTAAATCCGTGATTTATTTTCATAAATGACTGCCAGTGACAAGCTGTTGCACCCATAAAGTGCAAGCTTTATGAAGTGTATGACTTATATTAACAACGATTACAGAACAGAACAAAACTCCATTTGAACTTTTAACGTTCAATTTTAAAACATTTAGGAAGGAAAGGACATGACATGTGGCCAAGTATAGTGTCCCATACTTGGAATTTGTGCTCTGCATTTAACCCATCCAAGTGCACACACACAGCAGTGAGTAGTGAACAAACACACACACTGTGAACACACACCCAGAGCAGTGGGCAGCCAATGCTGCGGCGCCTGGGGAGCAGTTGGGGGTTCGGTGCCTTGTTCAAGGGTCTCACCTCAGTCATGGTATTGAGGGTGGAGAGAGCACTGGATATTCACTCCCCCCACCTACAATCCATGCTGGACCTGAGACTCGAACCCGCGACCTTCGGGTTACAAGTTCGACTCTCTATCCGTTAGGCCACGACTGCCCCCATTTAATTGCACACTACTAAAAAACGTCTCGAGTTGCGCATGTAACCATGGTTCCCCGAGAGGGAACGAGACGCTGCGCCCCCTAGGGGGCACATTGGGGAATGCCGCCAGCATGGCCGGTGTCTGAAGCACGTGTGAAACAATGCCAATCCTATTGGTTCACATGGCCCATCACCTCATAGGCGGGGTGCCCAGAAGTATAAAAGGGCACCTGCTGAATATGTCACCAACTTAGTTGTCTGTATGGCGAGGGGGCGCAGCATCTCGTTCCCTCTCGGAGAACCATGGTTACATGCGTAACCCGAGACGTCCCATTCTAGGGAACTCCACGCTGCACCCCCTAGGGGGCACATTGGGGAATGAAATCCAACCATGCCATGCCGAGGCGCATGCCTGTCCACCTGGTGGGAGACAGACATACGCCAAACCTTTCCTCAGAAAGGGGCCAGGCCACTGACACCACGGGCTGCTCAAATAACCTGGCAGAAATGGGGAGACCCGATTAGATCAAGGGGAACACCCCACCCAAGTTAAGAGCACAGCTATCCTCAGATAGCTATGCTATGTGAGCAATACTCTCCTGAATACACAAGACCACTGAAGAGGCTCCTCAGATAGCTATGTCCTAAAGGTCTTATGAAGGCTTGGAGACCAGAATAACAATCTAGATAGCCTTCCTGCAGAGCTGCCCAGACCACAGAG